CAGGCACCCCGCTCTTCCCCGCCCATGACTGCCCGAGCCTGGGACAGGGGACTCCTCTGCTTAAAATACCCTTAAAAAACGCACAGGGGTGAAAAACTCGTGTTCCAAGAGCAGGGGCGCCGGGGTGAGCAAGAGGCTGCCTTACCCTCAGAGGCCAGAGAGAACGGCACGTGCTGAGCGGCCTCTGTGCCAGGCACGCCTTCTGTCATTTACCCCTTGGAACAGCCCCTGTCGCAGGCCTGCTGTCTCCACTTGGCCAAGCAGAACGGTGCTCAGAGTAACAGGGCCCAGGAGGGAGCTGGCTGCGGGACCCCCGGTGTTCTTTCACTTACATGGGAAAGGCGACTGGAGCTCCAGGGCTGGCGGGGAACTAAACAGTTACCCACAGGGCTGAAACAGGGGAAGGGCAAGATGGGTGCCAGCGGGCCCTGAGCCCTCCCCAGCTGCCCGGCAGTGCCTCCCAGGTCAGACCTGGCACTAAGTGTGCCTCCCTGTGCCGTCCTGAGGCGCGGCGGGAGAAGCAAGGGGTTTCCGTGTGAGTCGGCCTGGCTCCTGTCCCCGGCCCACTGCCCTGCCCTCTCTCCTCTAAGCTGGGTTCCTGCTCTGTGAAATGGTGACAATGTAACAAGGTTGTTGTGTTAAATGAGATGGTGTTTGCAGAGGGCTCCGCACAGAGAGAAGGGCCGGGCCAGCCCTCCAGGGGCGGGAGCCTGAGGGCTCATGAAACCCCCACAAATTTATCTCCATGAGAACCTTGCACCACGCTGCAAGCTCCCGGTTTCTCTGCAAAACCCTGCACCTAAATAATACTTCTAGCCGATCACCCGCTACCAGCTGCACCCAGGGCTGCGTGACCGACACTGACCCTCCTGTGCCTGCCCCCAGCTCTGGCCTCCCCCCTCGGCCTCGGCAGCACACGCGGTGACACCGTGAGTCCTGGTCACAGATGCAATTTTTGCCACACACACACCTAAAGATCCAGTGTTGTAGAGCCGTAAGCCGTGCTCGACATACCCTTCCGGCCCCCGGGCCTCTTCATTGTCTCTCTCCCTCTTCCAAACCAGCATAAACGGAAGCACGTGCTTCTGGTGCGGGACGGCCCGGGGGCCTGAACGCCCAACTCCCGCACCCTGAGATGTTTCCACTGCAATCACCCGCAAGCACACAGGGAGCGGGAAATCAGCATCAGCGAGAGGGCAGGAGGGGGCGAGGTGCTTTTCTCCATGTTAAAGGGGGGATGGGTTTAGACTGGAGGAGAGAGGACTCCCCTGGGATTTTCTATATGGGAAGAAACCCCCAAAGGAGCATGCTGCCAAGAGTGGGGTCACAGGGGCTGGAGGTCAGGAGGAGGCCACTCTGAGGGGTAAAGTTTCTGTCCGGTGACTGCCGTGGCAAGTGCCCCCCACAGTCCTCCCAGAGCCCGTAACCCTGGCAGTGCCCACTGCCCCTTAAATTAAAACAAGGACCCCGACCCCGGCCAGAACGCCAGCCTCAGGGGTCCCGTCTGTATAAAGCCCAGTGGCAACTGGTCTGGTCTCAGGTGCCATGCATTCAATAAACCAGTTCAACAGCCAAAAAAATATTTGATATGAATTTTAAATATTAACCAAAACCTTGCCGGAAACAAATGGCATTCACAGCATATGTCTTCACATCTTTCTCTCAAGCTCCGCAGCCGCTCCAAGGGAGCC